AATAATTGGTAAGAACACCCGATTTTGACATCTGCAAGGTCCAAAACATCACCACTGTCTCCCTCCATTGGTATGAACTCAAAGTAAGATAGGTTGGGCATTAGCGTGTAAGAGATGTCCTCAGGTTTACACAAAGGATCGATATTCAAACCGAATATTGTCTCGGAAGAAGCGTAAATTGTTGAAACAAGAGGCAAGTCATTGCAGTAATGTTTCAATGTAGGAACATATTTTGCCATTGAACCTGTAACAATAGCTTCAATGTATTTGATTTGTGGCCATAGCTTTGTCACTATACCTTTCCAAGACTTTTGGCTGCATATCTTTTCAATCTTGTCTGATAATTCGGGACGTGGCTGACCTCCAAGAACCATAGACATGGAGTTTCGACAACCAGAATCGGTGATCCACTCGCTGAGATGACCTGATCGGATATTTAAACACAACTCTTTCCAAGAATCTTCAAGAACCTTGATTGCTCTGACTAAACCTGAAGCGAACGTGGAACCGATTCTCACGACCTCGTCTCTTTGGACAAGACCACATAGCAAATGGCAATAAAGATTTTGCTTGGTGTTACTGCCTAACATAACTTCATCAGGACTCGTATAAGAGTAATACCAATTAGATGGTCGATTCTTGAAATAGTCGCTCTTTAAGTACCAGCTTGTTCCGGCCGCAATGGGCAAGCCACATGGACTTTTGGATTCGAGGTAAGTTAAGAAAAACAGCATCCCCTTTCCTTTCTCCACACCTTTTACATGCCTACACAGAACAGCAACAACAACAAAAGTTGATTTTTGATTAGAGCCAAAGTATCCCGTTCGCGTTAAAACCATCTTAAGATTGATTATATATAGGTTATTTCGCAATGACCTTTTCCTAGACCTCACTCTTGAGTAAATAATCGGAAAAATACTTACAGTGATTATCCCAGTTCTTCTAACTTTATAAAAGGATTTTATTAGCAATACATCTTTGCTCCAACTAATTATAGGCTTACAATTTACACAAACCCACAATGGGATAGATGATTAGGCCAAAACCCACAGCTGATTATCATCTCAAGTAGGTCTGAATCGCCGTAATGCCCCACGTACCAATTTCTAGGGTTAGCAAAAAAAAATTGTTTTTTTTTACAAAATTAATAACTAACTGGGACCAGCAACCAAATATACAATTTTTCTTTACTTTTGTAAAATCAATCATTAAGCTGATTTTAGTTTCAACATATAGAGTAAACCATTAGGCACTTACTTGCTTATAACGTGCTCGAGAAGATCAATGATGAACGCATAGCCTTCTAAAAATTTGTTATTCGATGGTATCATTTTGTTTGCCCCTCCTGAAGTTCCAGAACTACAACAACAGTTTCAAAGCTTTTAGTAACACCGATATGAAAAAAAAAATCAAGAAACTTTAGGGCAAGCTAAACTCTTACGCGTACCTTAGGAAGAAATTTGTGATGGGTACGGCCGATATTATATTTGATGGCTCTCCATTCACGACACGATCAATATAAGGTTTAACATCTTCATAGGCGACTATTGGTAAGTTCTTCTTGAAGAGCTCTTTAGCAGAGCTTCCATGAAGAAAGTTTTGGATATACTCTGTTTCTGCGTTAAGTGTGAGTATCTCTTTCAGCAAATCGTCTTGTATTTGCTTCACATTCCATGTTAAGTCCTCCAGAAGCTTTCCCTTTTCTTCCTCGTTGAATTTAGAGATTGTACTCATATTTGGTTATCTCTAATTCACACGGAATGATTTGGTTCTATTATATATGCAAATTACTATTGTTTAGTTTGGTTCATACAATAAAGTAAGAGCTTCCGGAAATCACGTATATGAAGACATTGAATATATCTCAAGCTGTCAGAAGATGCTTCATGTTTGTATTATAAAATTGAAAATGGATTGTTAAAATGTATGAGGAAAACAGATATGTATGTTTGTTTAGTTTGGTTCAGACAATAATGTAACGTAAAAGCTTCCGGAAAACGCGCGAAACAGAAAATTGATATATTTCAAGCTGTCAAAAGATGCTTCTTGTTTGTATTAAAATATTAGAACTGAATCGTTTATTGTGTGAAGAAAGCAGATATAATTGTTTTGGAGTTTTTTTTTTTTAAATGATAAAAAAATGATTGCTTTTAAGTTAAGATTCACATATCTAAAAATAGAAACAATATAACGGATTTATGGAGAGATAAGACTGAAACAGAGAAACAAAGAGTCAAGTGTTTTTTTATTTTTAACAAAGAGTCAATTGTTTCTAGCTGATTTATGGTGAGGCTGAAATAGAGACACAAAGAGTGTTTTTTTTTTCTTTTTTTTGTTTTTTAACAAAGATTAAGTTTTTAGAACGTAATTTCACTTTAAAACATAGAGATGATGATGAGAAGCTTTAAAAAAATATTATTATTAAAAAGAAAAAAAGATTGGTAAATTACGTCTTGCCACATCATGGGAGAAACGTTCCTATCATTTTTGCATAGAGAATCGGTTCTCCCTCTCAGTCTTGCTATATCATCATTATTTTTTTATTTTTTTATTAATCCTTAAAAAATTTATATTACAGATGCTTTTAGAGCAGCTTCATCAATTAAAGATTCAAAATAGTTATCTCAACAATTAAATACTATTATTTGAATACAATTTAATTTGTTTAGATAAAAACCGATCAATGATTTAAAAACACATATATTTAAAGTATTTTAAAAATATAAAATATTATTATCCGTTAGATACTCAACAAAAATTTCTTAAGATTAAAAAAATATTATTTTTGTATAAATGAAATAAACAACTAAATTTTAATCTTTAAAAAAGAATTAAATCAATAAAAAAATTGAAATATGGCTAAAGAGTCTCTAGTGAATTTTTCATGGGTTCTCAACGAAAAATTAATTTTCATTCTTTTTTTTACTTTTTCAAAATTTTACTTTTATTGTTGAAAAACTCTTTAAAAACTTCTCGATAATAATGCTCTAAAAAGTTCTTAAACAAGAATTGTATTTCATTTTTAAAATTATTTTTCTTTTTATCTACTATTTTAATCCTTAGATACCATATGGGAAACTACCACCAAAACTGCTCTTACAAATATTCTACGTCTTTGTCAACACCATAGTTGTCTAACAAAAGTTCTAAACCTAATTTTTATATGATCTATATTTTATGTATTCTTTCTGTTTTATGAATGGACAATATTTTCATTAAAATTATTAAGGCCCATTACTTATCTACATGAAACCACAAAGCCCATAAAGCCTCTCTCTGCAAATCCATTAACCACCAGACCAGATCAATGTCGTCGTCTTCCAATTTCAATTTAGCTTTCATTTCCAATTTCTCTCGAGGAAACAGAGCCGACGAATACGAGGTAAGACTCGCCCTCGTATGTTTGTCTAGGATCGGAACTCATGACATTGCTAGGTGTTTTACCTTCTTGTGTAGTAGCAGTCGTAAATCTCTTTCCAGGAAGAAAGCAATTTGTGTTGTCTTTAGGGTTTTTGAGAAGAATTGTGATGCGTCTTGTCGAGAATCTCGAAACCTCTGATCCGCAGATTTGTCTTCCCGTCGTTGTAGAGTGTTCTGTGAGCTCGCCAAGAAAGATCCTAGAATATATGCCAAGTAAGCTTGAGCTGTCATGAAGACACGATCTGGTAACCATGATGTTGAAGTGCTGAGGATGTTTTGGGATTCATCGGTATGATAAAGCAAGAAATAGCTGAGAAAGTTAACCTCCAAGACAATGAAACAGAAGCTTTTAGAGTCGTTGAAGATGTGTTCTCGGCCCCATTTCAGCATCTGCACACGGACAGCACATGATTAGAGATGAACAAGTAGCCTCTTTATCTTCATCTTCATCTCTTCCACCTGAAGCGCTGCTTCTCTTCATTGTATTACTTCTCACAAGGAGGACCTGGATAGCAACGGCAAGCCAAGTGATTATCCTCTCGTGAAATGAATTAGCAAACGAGATCCGATCAACCCCAAGATAAATCTGTCTAAACCCCAAGCAGAAACCAACTACAGAGAGACTGTAAAAGACGATGAATCTTTGTCCCTAGCTATCCGAAGCGCTCTTCTGGCGTAGAACATAGGGAAAGAGAAAGGCAAATATGTGAGGAACCAGAATTTAGGACAGAAGGAAAAGAACTCCAGAGTAGAAAATCACCAGAGAGAAGTACAAAACATAGAGCCGATTGATTTTGTGTATAACAATTTGATGTATGGTTCTTGTAAGAGAGATCCGATGAAAAATTTTAGGAAAAAAAAAAGGTAGAATGATACAAAAGATTATCTCTCTCGTGCTGATCCTGATCATTATCTCTCTTTAGGATCCTGATCATTAACATACAAAAGATTACATTCAAGAATGATAATGATCAGGATCAGCACGAGTGAAGAGGACCAGATCCACTTTTACTCGTAATTAGACACTCATAATCAGCGAATAAAACACAAGAGATTAACAGTTTGGGTTAGGAATGCCGCAAAGGCTGTAGACTTTCTTGGCGTTAGAAGAGGTAAGATATGGGCCTAAGCCATTACTTATATACCCACAAAGGTATGGCTGCTGCTCTCTCACCTTCGTGCAGCACGTCGGTGACGGCGGCGAAGATGTCATCAGCGCTTGGCTACATGAATTTAGCTCCGTCTGCGAGCACGTCACTCCTTCCGCCACCGAGATTTTAGCCACCGTCAACAGGAAAATCGCCGCCGCGAGAGCTACAAGGGAAACCCGCATCACCAGAATTAAAATGTTGTGCATTAGTTAATTTATTTCTGGTGCTTGATAAATTTTGGTTCACTTCATCGTTGGGTCAGTCCAAGATTTTAAAACTTTGATCTTTGTTGGACACTAATAGCAATAAGAAATAACGGATATGCAAATTTGCAAATATTGACTCGCAAAGATACATAAGAAACAAGGAACAAAAGAAAACATAACATAACTAAAAACACACGTCTCATCTCTTGAACCATATCATTAGTTAAGCAACATGAGATTCACTTAGAGCATTGGAGAATCTAGCAACCACATTTGTCTCCAATACTTGTAAGGCCTTTTCAGATGTGATGCATGTGGGAGTCTTGTATTGAGCCTTTGAGGTTGACAAGTCCATAAGAGCATCGAACGTCCCATCATTCACTACTCCTATCTCGAGAGGCCCTATAGATCCATGACACCGACCGTACTTGTATTCCTCGTCAAGCGAATCCTCCATTGCTGAACAACACTCCAAGAATGTCTTTTCATTGAAATTGAGGCCCTTACTGTCTTCGTTTTTAGCCTTTACTTCCCAATAAACCACGTAGTGACCTGGACTACTAGAGATATCAGCATAGCTGGTGAAATCTACAAGCATTAGATCTGATGAGTCAAGAACCAGATTTGCTCGATTCACCGCCTTAAACAAGTCTTCCTCATTTGTCTTGTCCGTATCAATGCTTAACACCACCTTCTCTCTTCTTACAAACCTAAACTGAGGTGCCTTGTTGTGGAAGCCAGTCACCTCTACAACATCTCCGATTCTCATTCTATACAAACCCCATAAATTTGTGACCAACAATTGGTAAGAACACCCGAGTTTGACATCTTCGAGGTCCAAAACATCACCATTGTCTCCCTCCATTGGTATGAACTCAAAGTAAGACAGGTTGGGCATTAGCGTGTAAGAGATGTCTTCAGGTTTACACAAAGGATCGATATTTAAACCGAATATTGTCTCGGAAGAAGCGTAAAGTGTTGAAACAAGAGGCAGGTCACTGCAGTAATATTTCAATGTAGGAACATATTTTGCCATAGAACCTGTAAGAATAGCGTCAATATATTTGACTTGTGGCCATAATATTGTCAGTATACCTTTCCAAGACTTTTGGCTACATATCGTTTCAATCTTGTCTGATAATTCGGGACGTGGCTGACCTCCAAGAACCATAAACACGGAGTTTCGACAGCCAGAATCGGTGATCCACTCGCTGAGACTACCTGACTGGATATTCGAACACAGCTCCTTCCAAGAATCTTCAAGAACCTTGATTGCTCGGACCAAACCTGAAGCGAATATGGAACCGATTCTCACGACCTCGTCTCTTTGGACAAGACCACAGAGCAAATGGCAATAAAGATTTTGCTTGGTGTCACTGCCTAACATAACTTCATCAGGGCTCGAATAAGTGTAATACCAATTAGATGATCGATTCTTGAAATAGTCGCTTTTTAAGTACCAGCTTGTTGCGGCCGCTATAGGCAAGCCACATGGAGCTTTGGACTCGAGGTAAGTTAAGAAAAATAGCATCCCCTTTCCTTTCTCCACGGCTTTTGCATGCCTAATCAGAAACAAAATCAAATTTTCTTAATTTTTGGTTAGCACCAAAGTATCCGAGTCCTTAAGTTAGCAATTTGTTTTGCAATATATTTTTCATAAACTCACATTTTGCTTTATTTTTATGGAATTTTTTTAATCATTATTCATGAATCTGATTTAGTAGATCAAGAGTAAAATGCTATGCACTTACTTGTTTATAACGTGCATGATAATATCATTGATGAACGCATAACCTTCCAAATATTTGTTATTCGATGGTATCATTTTGTTTGCACCCCCCGAAGTTCCCGAACTACAACAACATCAATGAGTTTAAAGCACCGACACCAACACCGAGACCCAAAAATCAAGAAACTTTAGGGCAAGCTAGCTCTTATGCGTACCTTAGGAAGAAATTTGTGATGGGTATGGCCGATATTATATTCGTTGGCTCTCCATTCACGACACGGTCGATGTAAGGTTTAACATCTTCGTAGGTGACTATTGGTAACTTCTTCTTGAAAAGCTCTTTAGCAGAGCTTCCATGGAGGAAGTTTTGGAGATACTCTGTTTCTGCGTTAAGTGTGAGTATCTCTTTCAACAAATCGTCTTGTATTTGCTCCACGTTACATGTTAAGTTCTCAAGAACCTTTCCTTTTTCTTTCTCGTTGAAATCGGAGATTATACTCATATTTGGTTATCTCTAATTCACACGGAATGGCTTGCTTTATATGCAGGCTAGATGTTTGTCGTGCAGGGTTAAATTTCATTGGCTCCAACTTCCTTTTTGGGACCAGTTTCTGGTGGTTTCTACATGTGATGTCATTTATTCTATCATTTAGTTATACTACTATAAATGCGACCAGGCTGGCTTAGCGTATGTTATATACCGAATAAACCGTAATTTTTGTTTAGTTTGACTTCAAAATAAAATTAAGTGTAACTGAAACATAAAATTAAATGAAAATTGGATGCATGTACTTGATTGTCACAATATTTGATGATGAATAAATATACGAAGAATGAGACAAAAGTTGTAAAGAAAATACTCCCTGCATTTCAGAAAGAGTGTCATTTTGACAGTTTTCACACAAATTAAAAAAAAAAAAAAACTCTTTTTATTCTTTATAAATACGCTAAACAATTTTCTTTTTTCTAATTAATACACTAATAAAACAAGGTTAAAATTAAATTTTTGTTTAAAATTTCGCATTGGAAATATAAAACAATATTTTTTTATGAAACGAAAACAAAACTCTAAAACGATAAAGGAGGGAGTACTACAGAAATTATTTTTGAAATTGAGATTGACCCATCTCTGCTTAGTGCATTCTATGTTATAAATAAGAGGTTAAAAACGACTACTGTATTTAAGAGTGAAAAAAATAATGAAAAATGACCAAACTTTCTAAAAATGTAAACTACTTTTTCTTTTGTTGATAAATAAATTAACATTTCAACCAAAAATATACGATATAGCCAAAAACCAAACTATACTCCTAGTTTATTTTTGTTGGAACTTGGAACGTATTTGATTTGGTTCGGTTTTGCCACATTGAATTTGAATACCCGTAATAGTAAGCGTAGATGGCAGGGATGTATTTTATTATGCATGTTAGTATTTAATATGCATGTTAGTGCTTTTGTGGGATCAGGTGAACCTAATAATATTATGAATCAATACTACAGTAACCTATGAATAGAATGCTTAATTGTATTAGTGAAGAGATTTACAATATATAGAGCTATGATACAGAAAAGAAATCAGGAATCGAATATTTTCATATCTATGTTTCTTTATATTATCTACACGTTCCCTCAAGACGAAGGGGGTTTACCCACGCCAATTTTGTCAAATAGTTCAGTGAACTGTGGCTTTGGAAGCGGTTTGATAAGGGCATCTGATCATTGGTGGAGACATGTGTAACCTGCAGCGCTCCGGACTGAATGAGGTCTCGAATGAAATGGTAGTCGAGTGCTAGATGTTTCATCCGTAAATGAAACACAGGATTTATACACATATAAGTAGCATCCACATTATTACAGTAGATGACAGGTACGAGTGGTAAAGTGATTTCAAGTTCAAAAAGTAAGGAGCAAATCCAGCGTAATTCTGATGCTGTGTTGGCGACTACACAGTACTCCGCTTCGGTTGACGATGGAGCAATTCCTTATTGTTTTTTAGAGAACCACGCAATGGCAGTTGTTCAAAAAAATAGAATGTAGGCATTTGTGGAAACAAAATCATCGACATCGCCTACCCAGTCCGCATCAGAGAACGCATGTAACATTGTAGGAAAGTCAGCCCAGAGAAAGATACCATGTGACACTGTGCCAGCGAGATACCATAGGACACGCTTGGTAGCTTGCCAGTGAACATCAGTGGGACGATGCATAAACTGGGACAGTTTATTCACCGAGTATGCAATGTTCGGGCGAGTAAGCGTAAGATATTGTAGACTACCTATGACCATCTGATACTCAGCAGGGTCGTCTAGAGAAGTACCTGATAATAAACTCATTTTCGGATGAGGAGCCATTGGTGAAAGAACAGGTTTGACCTCAAGCATCTTCGTCTTGTTGAGCAAGTCGAGAATGTAGCGTCGTTGCATCAGCTGGAGGCCTTTAGAGGTCCTGGTAGCTTCTATGCCCAAGAAATATGACAAGTCAGTTGGCTCTTTTAAGGAGAAGCGAGTGGAGATTGATTCAATGAAGCGAGGGAACTATTGCTGCCAGTGACCAGAATATCGTCGACATATACTAATGTGTAGAGTACTGCAGAGCTAGATATGAAGACAAAAATAGAGGTGTCTGCAATTGAGTTAGAGAACCCGACGTCAAGAAACTAATTCTTCAGTTCCTGGTACCAGGCACAAGGCGCCTGCTTGAGCCCGTATAAAGCTTTGTTGAGACGGCACACATAATGAGGACGATCGTGATCAATAAAACCCGGGGTTGCGTAACATAGCCGACGTCTGTCAGAGTGCCTTGGAGGAAAACGTTGTTAACATCAAGTTGTTTAATGAGCCAAGAATTGCTTACCACCAATTTCAAAACCAGACGAATGGTCATCGACTTCACCACCGGGCTAAATGTCTCCGCTGAATGAATTCTCGAGCCACCAACCGAGCTTTGTACCTGCCAAGAGAGCCATCAGGTTTGTATTTGAGAGTGAAGATCCACTTTGTTGCAATAACATTTTGTCCTGGTTAAGGAGGAACTAGATCAAAAGTGTGGTGGCGTATTTGAGCATTTACTTCATCACCCATGGCATGTCTCCAATTCGGATCTCGCAGAGCCTGGGTTACTGTTGTGGGTATGACGGGTTTCAATGGAGAAGTGGTGACAGTGAGGTTTAATCTGGTGATGGGTTTGACAATGTTGTTTTTCTTTCTGGTTCGCATCAGGTGGTCTGTGTGAGTGGGAGGATTTAGTTGTCTGGTTCTCGTGATGGAGGAGGAAGGGTTTGGGTTGTTTTTGAACATGTTATTGTTCTTTCAGGTTCGCATCGAATGGTTTTTGCGGGGCAGAGGAGCTGGTCGTCTGGTTCTCGTGTTGGAGGAAGAAGAATTAGGGATCGTAGATGGGTGAATATTTTGGGTTAGTGACAAGGATAAATTTGGGTCATGTAATGTTGTTGGGCTTGGAATTGGAGGTGGACTTTGGTCATGTGTTGAAGTAAGGCTTTGAGTATTTGATGGTGGTGGGCTTGGAAAATTTGGGCATGTGGAAGTCTGACCAAACTCATTATTCTGAAGTGTTGAAGGATCCTCATCGTGAAAATCACGATTCACCAACGACATCGCAGTAGGTGACGGCAGATGCACTTGTGACGCATCCTATGCCGTCGAAGGATCTGAGACTGGAGGCGCGAGCAGCGGAGTTGATATGAATGGCACTGGGAGTGTTAGAACGATGGTAGGAGGGGAATATTGTGGCTGTGGATTTTTTGGGTTGGATGTCGGTTGTTGCGTTGGTGATGGGGAATCAAACAGGAAGCTTGATTCCACAAATTAGACATGCCTCGAGCTGTAAATTCGGTCGGATTGAACATCAAGACACAGATAAGCGCTCTGGGTGAGCGAGTGTTCAGCAAAGACACAGGGAGTGGATCGATCATCAAGTTTATGGGAGGTGTACGGTCGCAGCCATGGGAAGTAGAGACTGCCAAAGACACAAAGTTTCAGATAGTTTGGTGACTGACCAAAGAGCCGGGTGATGTATTGTGAAGAACAGCAGTCGGCAATCGATTGATAAAGTAGACCGCCATGGCAAAAGCAAAGGGACTTCTTGGGGACTGAGGCTTGGTGCATGAGCGTTAGACCAGTCTCTACAATATGGCAATGCTTTCTCTCCGATATCCCATTGTGTTCTGGTGTATGAAGTCGTGAGATGAAATGAGAGATGCCATGGGAGGTAAGGAACAGCCATAATGCGACATATTCACCACCGTTGTCAGAGTATAAGGTTCTGATTCTGCTCTGAAATCTGTTCTCTATTAATTCTTTGAATGCGATGAACGTGTCTTTGACTTATGATTTTTGCTTCAGGGGATACATCCAAGTGTAATGTGTATGATGATCCATGAGAACTAGATAGTAATTATAGTTCTAGATTGATAGAATGGGTGACATCCAGACATCCGAGTAGATGTATTGAAGAGATTTATTTGAGGTAATTGTGTTTGAAAAGAAAGGCAATTTATGGCTATTATTGATAAAACAGAGTGAACAAGGGAATGGTGTTTGCTTTGAATCAGAACAGGGTAATGAAAACTGAGAAATAATTGATTGTAAAACAGGTGGAGATGGGTGACCAAGCCGGGAATACCAAGAAGGAAGGGATGTTTTTGATGTAGGTGATGCGAACATAGAGATGGTGTTTTTGGAGGTGACTGGCCACTCGTACAACTCATTCTTAGTTCTGCTTTGGAGTAAGCGGATCCCCGTTTTCAGACCCTTCACCTGAAAATGAGCCGGGAAGAATTTCACAGACACGTGGTTAGTGTTACATAAACGGTAAACGGATATGAGATTTTTGTGAATATTGGGAACAAAAAGAACATTTTGTAACGAAAGGGATTTAGATCATGTAGGTAAAGAGGTGGAACCCATGTGCGAGATCCGAAGTCCAGAGCCATCTGCTATGGTGACTTCTTCACCACCATTGTATAGTTGGTGTAAAGAGAGATTATTCAAATCCGTCGTGAGATGGTGAGTGGCGCCACTGTCTAGTAGCCATCCATTATCCGTAGATGTCTGAGTTTGCACCATGTTGGCTCGAGGTTGTCATGGAGCTGAGTTGTAATGAGAAGGTCGTGGAGAGGGCCTGTATGAACCACAAGGATATTGAAGCTGGGAGCAGCGACGTGCACTATGTCCATGTATGCTGCAAATCTGGTCTTGCCGGGACTGTTGCGATGGTTGATTGTGACGATGGTTGTTGTTGTTAAAGCGATTCTGTCCTCGTTAGTTGCTGTTGTAGTGAGAGCCTGTATTGCGAGTGTTGGCGGCATTTGCGGTGATTGGTGTAGGTGAAGAGATGGGAACCGTAGTCTGAAGTTTAGCTTCTTGATTCAGGAGCTTATCGTGTATTTCAGGAAGAGAGGGAGTGACATCAAGCATCTCAATCTGACTCACAACCATTTTATACTCTTCGGGAAGTCCTTCGAGTATGTATTCTACTTGATCCTCTGGGTCCACCGGTTTTTCCAAGAGGAAAAGTTGATCAAAGCGAGTGGTAAATCCTTGGATGTACTCATTGATCGACTTGTTACCTTTGGTCCATTGCTTGATCTGATGTTTCAGTTGTTTAATGTGTCCCCGGCTTGGTGTTGCGTAGGTGGTGGTGAGGGTCTCCCAGATCTCAGATGCTGTAGTTGTGGTTGCAAGAAGTGGTTGAATGACCGTGGAGATCGCACCTAGTAAAGCGATGTAAATGAGTCGATCTTGGCGTTTCCAGATCGTGTATTCAGGGTTGACAGACACGAGACCTGTTACGGTGATTGTAGGAGATGGTACCACCATGGATCCATCAATGTAGCCAGCTAAATCGTATCCATCGAGAAGGGCGTGAACTTGTCTGCTCCACAT